AATGACCCTGAATGTCATCAACATCGTTCCTGGAATTATCACCCGAACTAGAAGTCTGAAGGAAGGTGGATTATTTATCACATCTACGTGACATGGAAGCTAGGCAAAGCATCATACAGAACTAACGAATGGAATAAAACTTGCCCGTCACTGTTTCAAGCGTTACAACATGACCTTCAGCTTCGTGCAAGATCTTGATGGGTACTCCAACTGAAGTCATTCTCTGAAATTGCTTAATTGTAATGTTCCAAATGGAATTCTGTGATCAGTTACAACGAAATATTCATCAAATGCTTGAATGGAAGGAATAGGCAATCGGATATTCACTGTCGAAAATAAGGAATAGATGATGTTCAATGTTAAGAAGTGGCGGCTCCCAAGAGCTCCTGATTCCGGTTTCATAGATTACTTTGGACACATAATTAGGCCAGCACCAAAAAATGTGCAGTTCTGGGCTGAATACCCGACTAGAACGATATGAGATGCACTCTTAAGCCAATAAGCTGAATCAGAAGGAAAAATTCCAGAAACAAAAAAAGGTCAAATTCCCCTGCACGTTGTGAATAGGAGCCATTTTCTGACTATGACAGCTTACAGAAAACGGACTTCCTAGGCGACAGTGTGTTCAAACGTTAATACAAAAGCTATGCAAGGTATTCGGATGGTAAACCAAGTGGCTCTCCAAGAAGGTAAGTAAATTACATAAAAAGGTCAAGGCGGCGTCATTCGAAAAATCGACACTGCGGAGAAAGCGAAGCGGTTGAGGCGCGGTCTTCGCTTTGGAGCACTGAAACCTGCAGGTCAGATTCATCGAGGCTATCCAGTTAATCTCGAGTTAGTAAGTAAGTCAGAACCTCTCCCATTGCCACTCTTATAGCCTTAGAGATATCATAAGTCCCGGGCACTGTTTTCGGGGGAAATCACGCCTCTTCATGCCACTCGTCGAAAAAAAACCAGTTCTTCCTCAATCGTACTCTAGTCGTGTTTATTGACTGAGTATTGATTAGGTTTTCCTGTGGTCATACTATGAAAGTGGGCGACAAGACTAGTGAACCGAGTAGTGTTTTATATAACCTTACAGCCTGACTATTTTTTACATGTGTAATGTGCATTCACTGCGATTCGACCCCCATGTTTCCTCGGTATTCCATCATTTGAACAAAAGGCGGCCGATATTCACGTACATTGAGGCACTTTGGTGGTATCTAACACCCGAGGTATCCGAAATTGCAACAATCTTCTCTCATTATAGAGGTTCATTGAACACAATCCTGGAGCCCCTTCCTTCTCTCAAGGTTCCAGCAAAAGTCCCCATCCCTTGGAAGGCAATTGTTTCTTCGCACCTATCAGCATTGAATACCGTTGAATGTTCTTTGAAAAATCGAGGAAATGGCGTTGAAGTAAAGCTAGCAACATTTCGCCCTTTCAAATGTCTCATTGTGCAAATTTGGGACTACCATAGTCCGACGGACTATTGCACTGCAACACGCACTATGGTGGAATAGCGCAAATGGTTCTGCTCATGAATGATTTTTCTAGCATCCTTAGAACAATGAGCTCTTATTATCATAGATCCCCACTCCCGAGCGCTCCAGAGGCCATCAGATGGTTCGTTGCAGTGATTAAGCACGTAGCAACAGCTTCTGAAACTTTTTTTCTCCTTTTCCCTATTTTTTCTTAAGCGATTGTTTCTGGAGCATGATGTGTCGCTATGTACCAGTTGCCCTTGCTCTTGGGGGGC